GAAAACATGATGGTCATTACGAGTCATTGTAGTTGACATGTCGATTTGATTGACTTTATTTCAAGTGGAAGATTGTTAGTATGTAGGTGTCCTGGAGATAATCTGCTTAGTTAATTGAACACATTTTATTGATTCGTATTTCATGATTAATTTAATTTGAACATACTTTTATATCTTTATCATATTTTGTCTCGCCTTATATTTATGGTAGATATACATATAAAGATAAAGGCCCTATGGATAGAACATGTGTTCACTCGTGGATCTATGATGGGATCATGATCATGAGGACTCAAGTGCACTACTTGTCTATCACCTGAAGCTTGTTCCTAGTCTTGAATCACCAAGAAAAAGGCAATGGTGATCTCGATAAGACTAGCATGACATCATCTACTTGTATAGAGATACAAGGTAGGGACCTTATGGAATGCAGACATGGAGATTTCTTAGCTGATATCGTAGGTGGATCTGTTAGACAACAGATGACACCGAATTAACCCACCTAGAGACTCCACAAGGATTCATTGTAAATAAGTATCGTTGGATTTGTAATGTCTCTCATCGTTTGGTATTATGGATCATCCTAGACTAAATGATATCATCGAACACTATATCCTAGGTCTATACTTTGATTGTATGATTCTATCCACATGAAAATGTGAAAAACAATGTACTCTTGTGTATGGCTCGCATACATGAGTATAGACAGACATGCCGATATGACTCATAGTCTTCTACAAGGACTAGTCATTCACAAGACTCGTAGGGCTTGGATGGCTTCTATTAGACTTGTGAATTTGTCCACAGTAAAGGATCATGAGGAGTTATGATATTCCTTAGAGTTTATAAAAGAAAACTCCTAGTTTTGTGAAAAGCTTCATTTTGTCACACACGAGAGATGGATCGATCCTCTATCCTTGCTCTCAACTAAATGAAAATGGCGATATGAAGGATGGTGCTGGCACGACATCCAAATTAGAAAAGGTAAATCACTTGATTAACTCAATTAGTTCTGGGGCTACAGAGCATTACTAGTGGTGAATAGATAAATTGGGATAATTAAAGAAGTTTAGTTAGTCCAAGTTTATTTATGTCAATGACTATTTGGGTCTAATAGGCCACACATCAATATTGATCTTAATGGTGTGTAATAGCATATTTTGTCCAATAATGAGTTATTGGGCCTAAATGAGATCATGAGTGAATTGAGATGGAGTGAAACTCCAAGCCCTAGTGGTGAATTTATTTTTTCATTAATGGGCCCAAATGCATTAGAAGATTCAATTGGGTTTTGGGCCATGAGTCCTAGAAAGTCAAGGAGTTGACTTGGTCAAACTTTTATTTTGGCACAAACTTTATTTTGAATTCAAAGTTCAAATTAAGAGCTAGGATGAGAATGAATTGAAACTTTAGTTTAAATCTAAGATAAAATGTTGAATTAATGGATAATGCTAATTATCCATTAAGATTAGATTGGAATGAGAATTATCTTCTCATTTATCTAATAGTAAAATATGATGCATTATCCAATGAGATTCATAAAGCTTCGTGGAAATAACTTGAAAATTTTGAAATGTGAATTCAAATCAGGAAAAAAAATTCAACCTACCAAGGAAGAGATAGGGGCAAATCTAAGAGGATTAAGCTTCATGGAGTTCTCTTAGATGAAGGGATTAAAAGACTTTTAAAATTAGGACTAATCCTAATTTTATGAGAACAATTGCATGCACCACTTTGATCATCCGAGATCAAAATCCTAGCCGCCTTATCTCCTCTAAAAGGTATCAGAGATACTGATAGTGAAGATGAAGAACAAGAGGACGAAATTCAGAGCTCTGTGAGCTTTTGTGTATTCACTATTGAAAGATAAAGAAAGTGATACACGTGTATAATAACTAAATAACTAATGTTAGTTAGAGTTTATTGTGGGCTGTTATTCTATTGGGCTTTCATCCCCCCTCAAGCGCAATGGGCTAGGGAGACAAAACACGAAGCTTGGACTTGAAATCCAAAACTTGTTGCTTGGAACAGCTTTAGTAAGACCATCAATGATTTGGTCAACAACTAGGACATGATGTACAGTGACAAGCTTTGCTAGAACCTTCTCTCGGACGAAATGAAGGTTAAGTTCGAAATGTTTCGCGCGAGAGTGGAAGATAGGATTACTAGTGAGCAGTACGACGGATAGATTGTCATAGTAAATTGTGGGTGCTCGTGGAACAGAGATATAAAGCTCAGATAAGAGAGATCAAAGCTAGGTTAGCTCAGCAACAGCGACGGCGAGGCAACGATACTCAGCTTTAGTGCTGGAGCGACTAACGACGTCTTGTTTCTTGGAGGACCAGGTGATGAGATTTGAGCCAAAGAAGACACAAAAGCCACTCGTGGAATGATGATCATCGAGATCTGAACCCCAATCAAAGTCACAATGCACAAAGAGGTGAAAGTGAGGAAATGAGTTAATTGTAAGACTATGGTCCATTGTACCCCTTAGGTAGCAAGGATATGCTTGATAGCTTTCCAGTGGGTATCCAGAGGAGTGTGCATCAATTGGAAAGATTTGTTCACAAAGAACGTAATGTCAGGCCATGTGATAGGCATACTGCAAAGCACCAAAAATAGATCGATGGAGAGATAGGTCAGAGAAGGGTGAGCCATCATGAGAGGATAGTTTTGTGCTAGAAACCATGGGTGTGGGCATTGGTTTACAATTGGTCATTTTTGCTTTAGTGAGAAGGTTACTGATGTATTTGGATTGATTTAGGTGTAGTCCTCCATTGGAGGATTTGAAAGCCTCAATACCGAGGAAGTAGTGAAGGTGGTCGAGGTCTTTAAAAGCAACGGCTTTATTAAGAGATTAGATTAAGGTTGTGACAACTGAGGTAGAGGAACCAGTGACAAAGATGTCATCAACATAGACAAGGACAAATGTGGTGTGTGTTTTGGGGAAAAAGAGAAAAAGAGAACTGTCATATTTGGTATTGGAGAAACCGAGATGGAGAAGGGTTGAGCTCAATTTATCAAACCAGGCATAGAGGGCTTATTTCAAGCCATATAGGGCTTTGGTTAATTTGCAAACAAGAGATTTATCTGAGGCATGGAAGCCGAGGGGTTCCTGCATGAAGACATCCTTATGAAGACCACCATTGATAAATGCATTGTTAACATCAAGTTGGTGGATTGGCTGGTGTCTGGTTTGGGCTATGGTTCGGAATCTCCAAGTGAAAAGCTATGAAACTAAACCTACATGTTTTTAACAATAGATCCTAAGACAAAACTCATAAGACCATAAAAGTGTTTACGGTTTTCACAATAAAAACAATAATTTTTTTTTGTTTTCACTCCTTATGAGCACAATCCTTTATAAAATAAAGGTACTACCCTTTTAACTTTCAATCTTGGCCTCTCCATTATACTTGGGAATACACCTCAGGACAATTGTTGTCATTGTGGCTATCACAAACTCGACAAAGTTCTTAGCATAACCTCATTCCTCTCCCCACCCCTAACATTGTGAAAAACACCCTTTCCTTAAAGCTGAAAATTTAAACAATTACAATCTTATGATGGTTATAAACCACTTTTAGGGGGTATTTGACAAAGGATAATTTTTTTTTTACCCGAAAATCATGATTCTCGGGAATATGATGAACAAGTGAGTTTTCCGAAAATATTACCAAAAAGTTGTTTGGTAAGCCAAAATATTATCGAATTTTTTGTCAGAATTTTCACATCTAATTTTTCATTTTCCCGAGAAAGTGAATGGTATTCTTGGATGGTATTTTGATTTACATTTTAAACACAAAAGAAAATTGCATCCCCGGAAATTTTTTCAAAAATCTTCTATCAAACATTGATAAATTGAATTATCACTCTCACTTTCCCATAAATTTGAAAATAAACCCTATATCAAACACCCCCTTAAAATCTACTTTGATTAAAAAAATATCACACTATCTACTAAGAAAGTATCACAATTACTTTTTTAATATTATGAATTTAATAAAAATTACAAATTGAGTAATTGAAATTTTTTATTGTTGTCTATAACTTTTTTTTTTTAATAAAGAAGGGGCAAGACCCCAGAACAGAACAAAACTAAGAAACTACACCTAAAAAAAATCTATTGGACATATCCTGTTGCAGAACATCCGCAAGCTGTGGTGGGGGAATATAGAAAACATTAAAGTTGTTAAACTCGTCATGAGAATGAGAAGCAAGCCGGTTAGCACAACTATTGTTTTCTCTATTTGTATAAGAACACTTCACAATCCAATCCTCTAAAAGTCATTTTTGAATCTAGGACACAACCTGAAAATTTCTGGAGTCGTCATAACTATCATGAATCACCGAGAGAGTATTCACTGCATCGCATTCTAATTAATTCTTTTAGCACCGGTACTCCAATCCATCTCCAACCCTTTAAGGATTCCCCAAAATTTTGCATTTAGGGGATTACAAAAACTAATGTGAAAGCTGAAACCACCTAGAAAAACTCCACTATTTTTATTACACACTTTATAATATTTGATATAAAAATTTTAATTTCAAAAAAGATTAAAATAACTTTAAAATGTACCAAAATAAACCTCACTATTTTTATATCAGCTAGTACAAGTTTTCGGGATAACGTTTCTTTTTCAAATTAACAAACCATAAATTCATCATATTATAATAATTGATTATTGATATATAAACAAAAAATACAAATATACAATCATAAACAAGAATAAAAGTTCCAGTATAAATCAATTCAAGGTTTCCAACCGAGGAAAACAGACATTTTCTTCAGTAAGCTTTCAGCAACATCAACCACTATACAAGTTCCCTGGAAATCCATTGAAATGAACCAAACGGGATGTTATTCTTTTTAACTTCTTTTGAGGGGAGTTTTTGTGAAAAGAGGATTGTCGCTGCAAAGAACATCACATAACGAGTGCAGAAAAAACATCCAGTAAGCACTAAGCAGATGAGGTTTAAACTCAACCATTGTAATGGAATGGAATACTGAATTCAACCTACCTTCAGCAACATAACAGTAAAATTTTTAGATCATTTGAAACAACCTACGTAACAAGGTTCACTAGTTATGGACAACTGCAAACTAATTTAACTACCACACCAATTCCTGAAAAGTAAACAACCACAAAAGAGCTCAGAACAAGAGCACGTACAACATCACAAATGAGTGCAAGAACCTCAAAACAATCTTGAGCATTTTTCAATGCATAACACTAAACTACAGCAGATTGGAAGAAATTGAGTTAATTTGTCATAATCAAAAGATGCACTCTACTTTCCAACCTAACCGAATTGCCCATAGTCATCAAGAGTCTGTTTGTTGCTGTTGGGGTGGCTGCTGTTGCTGGGTTTGTGTATGTGGCCATGGCATGAAAGCCATGGGAGGTCGAGGCTGCTGCGTAGAATATAGTGCTTCTTGATCAACTGGCTTTCCCATGATCATCCCTGGAGGTCCTACAGGATGCTGAGGTGGGACATAATAGTATGGCATATCAGCTGGAGAACCCATTATTGGAATAGTGGCCTTTGTTATTCCAAGTCCCTCCTCTTTCAACTCATCTCTTGGAATGATATCAACCAAGAAATCAAAAACATCATTTCTTGAAATAGCAGCTGCTATATCATTCTTTTGTAGTGTTCTCCTCTTGTTCTCTTCTGTGTGGATCCAAGACCGCAAAGTCAACTCCAATATGAACATTTCACATGCTTTTGCAAATATGACTGGAGCTTCGGCTGAAATCATCCGGACATCTTCATCAGCTTTCATTATTTTTTTTATCCGAGCAAGTGGGAGACTATGGTTTTTAAAGTCAATTGTTTGTTCAATTTCTTGCATTTGGTTTGCCCAGAACATTTGAAGCTGCTGTTGTTGCTGTTGCTGCTGTTGGTGGTGAAAATGTTGTGCTTGCTGGTACGCAAATTGTTGAGGGGAATTAGGGAAGGCAGCTGGAGGCTGTGTTGGGGAAGGAATAGCGACAGCAGATGTACCAGAAGCCACCAAGGGAGCGGTCTGGTAATGAGAAGAATAGGCCATTTGGCTAGCACCTGCTGCAACTCCCATCACATGCTGTTGTTGCTGTTGCTGCTGTTGATTTTGCTCTGATTTATCCATGACCAGTTTCTGCTATAAGATTTTATCTTCTAACTAGCCTCTCCTTACAGTTCTATAAAAAAGAAAGAGACAAAAACCTCATATCATATGATATCCCAACTTCAAGTATACTGGATTTTTACAGAGCCCAAAAAAAGATTAAAACAACGATTTACATAAAATAGCAAAAGTATCAATCTAGTCAATCAATCATCAGATCAAGTCCTTATGGACTCAAAATTTTCTTTTTTTTTTCACATACTAATGCCCCTTTCTCAACCATTTTTACCCACCACCATAACATTTGGTTTGCATATTCATTTACAAATCCATCTCAGTATCAAGCGAAAACAGCAGTCCAGTACAAAGTTGGGATTTCTTTATCTATAAATCATTGATTATAAATGGTAATGAAATCGAAATCTTTCAACCACTAGTTAGTAGTACGAGATATACCAAGTCTAAAAATAAGGAGATCAGCATATCACATCGAACTTGTCATGAGAGGAGTCAGCTTAAAATGGAAATAAATAATAAAAGAAGATTACCATGTAGGTTTCAAAATAAATTTATGAAGACCTATCATAACGAACAAGTTTACCTCCACCATTATGTTTGTAAACAATATCAATGATAAGTAGTTGAAAAACATAGGTTCTTGTTAACCACATAATAATTTATGAAACAATCACAATAATACAACATACCTTACATGCTTGCATTTTTCCATTCCTCAACGATTAACTTGGATTTTAGGCAAAATCTATAACTTTAGCTAGCCACATACATCAACATCAACAACACCTTTATCCCAAATTAGCTAGCCACATAAAAGGATAAAAAACATGGCATCCTTACCCCCACAACAAAAGGAAATATATAAAAAAAATTCTTTCCAATTTAGTAATAAAGAGATCCAACCTCGGAAAGCATACTAATAATACAACACTTGTACTAAATGTTGTCTTCAACAAAGCTAACATTGATCCAACCTTGACAGAGCCCCCCTCTCTCTAAAAAAAAAAAGAAGCGAAATTTCCAATTGCATTTTACAGAATTCATGTCACAATAACCCAGGAACAGAACTTGAAAAACATAGAAGGTTGAAGAGATAAAAATCATTATTGAGTTTTCAGATCAAAGTGCTGCACATTTTTTATGTTGAGGACAAAGAAAAAATGTATAGATAACTCTAATAGCTGTTAAGAGATTAACAAATATTATGCATGCAGGGATGGAAAATATGGAAAATATACTTACCATATTTTACCTTTTCAACTCAATTCACCAAACTGAAACTGAAACCAGAAGCAGGATGTAAAAGCCTGCTCTCTTGCACAGAAAATTAAAATTTCATATACACAGCAAATTTCTTTACCCCTACCCAGGATTAAAACAAATAAACATAGACAAAAAAGCAACTTGGATTTTCATCTCCTTTCCTAAACAGTTTTCAAAAACAACTAAACATTACTTCATAGCTTACACACAAATTCAATGCAAGAAAATAAACAGTGCCATGCATGGCCAGAATATAAACATGATCACTCACAGCAAAATTGACACACTGCAATTCTTATAATTGAATGGACCAAAAAAAGAAAGGAAAAAAAAACCTCAAATCTTTCTGAAAACTGAAATTTTTTCCCAGAGCAACTGATTATGGTCAAAACCCATATGATCAAAGTCAAAACAATGTTTAATTTTACCATGAGCTGCAATAATAATGATCTACAGAAACCCAGATGATCAAAAGACGCATTTTAAAAACCTGAAGTAACAAATTTTAAACAATAATAAACATAAAAGGAGGAAGATTTCAACTTTCATTTTCTTAGCGTTTCCGAGTAACCAAACAAAGACATGGAAAATTGAGCTCGAGAAAGGAAACAAAAAAGGCACGACTCGTTGGATAAATTTACCTATGGAAAATGAGCTTGAACTTTGGTCAATGGCGGAACAAACCCTTGGAGAGAGAAAATCAGTGTAGAGAGAGAAAGCGAGCTTTTGATGAAAAGGAGGGACAGTGAAGTGAAGAGTGTGCGTTTGAAATTGAAAATTGAAAATTGAAAAAAAGTATGGTTTTCTAGAGAGAGAGAGAGAGAGAGGAGAGTGTGTTTCAGGAAGCATCTATCATAGACTCGACACGTGTCGAGCGATGAAAGTTTTGACATTTGATGGGATGTTTCTCATGTACACGTGGCATAAACTTAGTGGGTGTGGCAGCGTTAGTGCGAACGACAGCGACGTATCTTTGGTGATGACAGTGCATGCGGGTTTCAGGGTTGTTTATGGGAACTAATGTTTTACCAGCTCAACCGCATGCGTGGAATGTAATATTTTTAATTGGTGATTTTTATTTATTAATTTTATTAGATTGTATACTAATTAATTAAAAAAAATATTCCCCGGTTGATGCCGGTAAAGAGTAGTAATATTTTATATTATAACGATATTTAAAAAAAATTTGACGTGTGGTGTTTGATATCTTGATATTTCCGAGCATGCTTGACATGCACTGATATTTATATTATTTAAAATTTTATTATATATCATAAAAAATTGATCAATATTTTTTCAATTAAAAGAATAAAAATTAAAAATGGATATCGAATAAATCTCATTGAAATGTATAAGAGATTTTTAATTTGAAAATATAATAATAAATATTTATATTTTATGTTTTTTACAAAATTAATGGATATTATAAGTTTAATTTTATTTTTTGTCAAATTATTAAATATTAAATAGAATATATGCTATATAAATTAAAAATACTATTTAATATCAAATCGTGTCTTAATATCTCAAAATCTCATTATTTTTTTAAATAAACATATTAGAGTATCAGATCATATTCCATGTCAATGAATGTAAGTTATATCTATACGGTTGTTTTAGGGGAAAATGTGACATTTTAAAGAATGTAAAGTTGTGTTAATTTAAGTGAAAGAAAGAGATAATTTATGGAGTGAGTAGACAAAAAAAAAATAAAGACGTGAATATCACCTCTTTGTGAAAGTAAAATGATATAAGTTACGTCATTTAAAAAGATAAACATTTTTTCTTTTTTTTATTAAGTTTAGTTTACAAGTTTGATACGTCCCACAAATTATCTTTCATTAAGGGAGTGTTTAGTAGAGGAAAAAAAAAATTTGTTCAGAAATCTCAATTTTCAAAAATATAATTTTTACATTCAATTTACGATAATATTCAAAAATTTAAAATTTAGAAAAATTTAATTTTCCGAGAATCTTAAAAAAACCCTCGTACCAAACGCACCACAAGGGACGTTTAGTTCAATCCCCCACGGAACTATTTTTTATTGCTTTTATTCTTCTTTCACCACTGTCCACTTATGCCGACACCACCCAGTGGAATTGGTTTAAATTTTATTTTATTTTTTCAAATTTCGCATCCCCATCCTCATGGAACTTATTTTTTTAAGCAATTTCTGGGATGCTACTCCGTGAAACATATAATTTATTTTTGAAAAAAATATGTATCATTTTAAAGGATTTAAAGTTATGTAATTTTAACTGAGAGAAAGAGATAGATAAAGGAGATGAGAGAGTGGATAAAAAAAATAAAAGTGTGAATTTCACCTCTTTATGAGAGTGAAATGACACAAATTATATCATTTAAAAGGACAAATATTTTTTTCTTTATTTTTTTTTTTCGATCCTTCGTAAGCAGATCTTAAGTGAAACATATTCAAAAGGATTTCACTGTTTGACTACATGTACTGATTTTAACTTTTGTTTCTCCGAATGTACTCAAAATCTCATAAATAACGTTTCGTCTTTTTTGATATAATAATTAAAATTAAATATATAACTTAATACAAATTACTCAAATTCTTTACTATCAGATCAATATAAGTGACTTAGATGGCTTCCTCTTTGATATTGCCGAGTTGAGCAACTATCATTTATTCATTTACAAGATCTAAGAACTCTCTCATCGAATACCTTTTTGGCATTCAAGAACGCGGACATTCTTCTTCTCCTCAACAGCTGAATGTCTCTCTCTGTATCAAATACACACATGTTTCTTCAATTATTCTTTTTTGGATTAAGCATTCATTTCTGTTTTTATTTGTCTTTTAGGCTATTGAACGTGTTCTTCAGGTCCTTGAAAGTTTCAGGGGTGTACTTATTTCAATTCGTGTTCATTTTGATTCCATTCTATGCTTTCTTTGCAAAGAACTAAAGAAATATATATATATATATATATATATATATATATAAGAAAAGTGTTTATCTTTTAAACCACATAACTTATATTCTTTCACTCTCACAAAAAAGTAGAACCTACACTTTTATTTTTTTTGGTCAACTATCTTTCCTCCTTTATCTATCTCTTACTCTCTTTTAAAATGACACAACTTTCCATACTTTAAAATGACACACACTTTTCTTTATATATATATATATATATATATATATATAAATAAAGGGCGTCAGCAGAGCTGCTTTAAAAAAAATCTACAAGGTTAAATGCAAAAAAAAAAAAAAAAAATTAAACCAATTCTGCGGAATGCCAAGATGATGTCCGCAGAACCGATGAAAAAGACATAAATAAAAAAATAAAAAAACATTTCGGTGGGGATTGGGCATGGGGCATGCTGAACCTGTGAAGTATAATTAAAAAAAACTCCAAACACATCAAATAGTCGTAGTTATATTCATAAAATGAAGGGAAAATTTCAAAAATCTTCATGTGATTTGTTCCATAATCATTTACCTCGTACACTTTTTTTATTACTTATCTCTTATATAATTTTTTCTATCCAATTTTACCTCTAACGTGTTAAATATTGGACTAATTTATTCATTTTTCCCCTGTATACAATTAAAAAAAACACGAGATGTAAGTGATTTTTTTTTTTTGGAAGAAAGGAAATAAAACAACAAAAAACTCAGGCAAGGCCTAAGATTACACTTGAATCATCCGAGGCGTGGTGATGCCTTGGATGTCTTCCTAACAGTCTCCATGCAAGGAAGAGGAACATGCCCTAAAGTATGTAGCTCCCAGTCAAAAGGAGAAGCCATGGATGCTAACACATCAGCCACACCGTTTCTTTCCCTGTGAATGTGGGAAATTCTAACGTTCCACTCTCGAGCCATGAGGCTAAGAATTCTACCAACTAGGAAGGAGAAGCCATGGATGCTAACACATCAGCCACGCCGTTTCTTTCCCTGTGAAAGTATGCATAAAATATGGAAAAGAAGGTTAAACACTCAGAAATCTACTAGAGCAAAAGTTAAGAACTACACTAAGAAAATAAATCAAAGATAATGAAAAGATAGAAATAAACACATATTTTTTTTATTGTCATTTTTTGATTTTTTTTGTTTTTTTTTTTTTTTTTACAGTAAAACCACATAGCATAAAGGAATCAGATGGTCATCCCTCACACTTAAACTTTTGTCCGTCTCGGGCAAACCCCCACACTTAAACACAACATCACAGTGAAACTAAAGCTCAGTAAATCTTCAGTGTGTGAAATTAATTGATTTTTCACTTAGGCTAGTAATGTGGCTTAAGAAACAAAGGATATAAAGGCACAAAGAGGCTCACCAAAGGATAATAATGTAAGGGATGACTATCTGGCTAAAATGGATAAAGAAAGAAATGAATGCCTCAATCAAATTCATGCATGTAAGTAAAAAACACAGTTTCAAAAATAACCGGAGCAAGTTCTAGAGAACAAAGATCAAGAGCAGAAGCACACAAGAAAGAAAGAATGGCCAGAAGATGTATGCCATGTAAACAGGCTCAAAACCTTACAAGGGTCAACCAAATCATGCAATCAACATCACAGAATCAATCAAAAAGTATTGGAATCCAAGAATCGAGATCAGAGCTCAACAGACTAAGAATCATGCTATCAAACATTGTGATCTAAGTCTACTCCATGTATCACTCAATAATTATCAGAAAGAAAAGGAAAATCTACTTATGAAAATCAAAAAGTAAAAGAAAGAAGAAAATACAAATAACAGCAAGAAAAGAAAGGAGGGAAGAGAACTCCCTAAACTCCCTAAGGAGAATAAACAGCATCGAGCAGCCTGATCTCTGCTTCCATCTCTGTATCCTTAGGTTGTTGTGGTGTTCTTTCATAGAAGGGCTTTAGACGATGCCCATTCACAGTAAATGTGCTCCCTGTCTGTTTGTCTTTTAATTCAACTGCACCATAAGGAAATACATTTGTAATAACAAATGGGCCATTCCATCTTGATCTAAGCTTACCAGGCATTAACTTAAGACAGGAATTAAACAGTAGAACATTCTGGCCCACTACAAACTCTTTCCTCAGGATCTGCTTGTCATGGAATGCTTTTGTTTTCTCTTTATATATCCTGGAACTCTCATAAGCATCCAATCTCAGCTCTTCTAATTCTTGCAGCTATAATTTCCTCTCCATTCCTGACTGGATGAGATCCATGTTGCATTGTTTCACAGCCCAATATGCTTGATGATCCAACTCTGCCGGAAGATGACATGCCTTTCCATAAACAAGTCGGTAAGGGAACATCCCAATAAGAGTCTTGTAGGCAGTCTTGTATGCCCACAAAACATCTTCAAGTCTCTTGCTCCAATCCTTCCTGTTAGAATTGACTGTTTTCTGAAGTATTTGCTTGACTTCTCTGTTTGAAACTTCAGCTTGGCCATTGGTCTGTGGATGGTATGCAGTGGCTACTTTATGAATTACACCATATTTCTTCATTAATCCAGCCATGCTTCGGTTGGAGAAGTGTGAACCATGATCACTGATAATAGCTCTAGGAATGCGAAACCTGCAAAAAATATTAGATCTGACAAAATCTACAACAACAGCAGAGTCATCAGTCCTGGTGGCTTTCGCCTCAACCCATTTAGATACATAATCAACAGCCAAGAGAATGTATGTAAATCCAAAAGAAACAGGAAAGGGACCTATAAAGTCAATACCCCAAACATCAAAAATCTCACAGAAGAGTATAGGGTGCTGGGGCATTTCATGCCTACGGGAAATACTACCTGTT